GAGGATCCAAAGAGTAAACTTTAAAATTCCGAAGAACATTAGCTAATATGGTTTTCATTTCAACCATCGCAAGTTTAAATCCTGTAAATAAATCATTTCAGTAAAATAACTCTGTGTTTAATTTATTACGATTCACTCACCGAGACAATTTCGTGGACCAGCGGAAAATGGCAGAAAAGCATAAGGATGAAGTTTTTTAAAGTTTTCGGGCAGGAAACGATCTGGATCGAACACTTCTGGATTTTCATAAACAGAAGGATTGTGGTGAATAGCATGGATGCAAATTGAGATAGAAGATTTTGGTGGTAAAATATAATCATCTATTTTATTAATATAATGAATAACCAATTATTAAAATATAGAGATATAAATAGAAGCAAAAGTCTAGATTGATACAACTAACCTATTTTTATTTCATACAGATTTTCTCTTGCAATGACAGGAGCAGGAGGACAGATTCTCATCGACTCCTGAAAAGTTTGGTGTAGAAATGTATCAAATTAATTTTCGTATATTAAAAAATTGTAAAGTTACCTTTATAACGCATTCTAAATAAGTCATTTTCAGCAAATCATCAACTGTAATATTTTTATTCATGTCATTTTCGAAAATGCTCTGTAATTCCAGATACACTTTGTCCTGTATTTCGTGGAATCTTCCCAGGAAATAAAGACTCCATGACATAGCATGGGCGGTTGTATCAAAACCCTGATATTAAAATAAGTTGAAGTGAAAAGTTAAATTTCTTCCTAAATAGAACATTGAATATTAATTAATAATAATTTGTCATGAAATATTTTTTCATTAGACAGCAGAAAAAGTTAAGATCTAACCGTATCACCCTGGGAAAGTCGGGATCAAATCCAAAAGAAGAATTATATAAGTGTTGTTTTTAGACAGATTCTATCTGTTATCACAGGGCTGCTTCGAGTATAAATATGACGAAACAACTATGTGTATGAATGAAAAACACACTTTTAATATCCTAAAGAATAGAGAATGATAGACAAAAACAACAGTTTAATGCTAAAATCAGAATTATTCGAATATATTTCATGAAGCCATATTTAACGGTGAAGAAGATTCTTCTCAACAGAATTTTATGAAGAAAAATCTGTTCAGAAGAATCTTAGACATTGGTAAGAAAAACGATAACAATTAAAAATTATATTAGTATTTGAAAACGTGAATTTGGTCAGCCTTAAATGGTATAAACCTTCATACTAGAGATTTCTCTTTGCAGAAAATTTTGTAAGGTTGCTTTTTTGTACTTGATTGCGTGTGTATAATAATTGAGGCTGATGACTTTACAGCGTCGACAATATTTCAGTTTATTTACATAATATCTACTCTATCAGTAATTGCCGAGAAACCCTCACCCCTTTATTAAAAAATTCCAAAGATTCAAGTTTTTGACACAAGTAATTTATCATGTAAAATGAGAAAAGTGACCAACGTTTAAATAAAAGGATTTACTTCGAATGTTAAAAAATTAGCAGTTCCTGTAGATTCTTAATTTAATAAAAAATTTTCTAAATATACTCAAATTGGAAATGAATGATTTAAAATATTGCTGAGAAATTGTTTTGTATGTTTGATTTTTTTTATTTATATTACTTAGTATTAATGTATTGATTAATAAATTATACATCAAATATAATTTTAAATTAACTGAAAAAAGTTAATTGTAATTATTAATTAAATAAGTTTTACATAATAATTTAATTAATACTGCAATAATGTAAATGATGTCATTGAAATACGTGCAGGATTATAAAACTATTTTAGTTTACATTTTTAACGAATTATACGTACTGCAAACATGAAGAATTCCATCTCCTTGATAATGTCTTTTTCCAATAATAAACCTTGATTCATATAAAGATCGAACAGTAAATCTATGAAAGGCTTTGGTTTTATGTTCGGCTCTTTTACACTATGTGCATTATCTTCTAAGTGTAGTAGCTGTCTTTTCACGAAATTTTCTTTTATTCTCTTGAACACCTGCGCATTAAATTAAAACGTAAATCTGTTAAATCTAAACATAAACCTTGATCTTTCATGTAAGTCGGTATACCTTTTCGTCAAATTGATGAATTATTTCAATGTATCTTTTGAAATTCCTTCCCGTTCTAGTCTTGGCGAAAATTAAAGAAAACCAATGCAATGGATTCAATAGCCATACAGGATAATATCCCATAAATCTAAAATTAAATTTCAATTATATTATACGAAAGTTTAATTACAAGGATTTAAATAGAAATATATTTTGTTTTTCGATTTGAATAAGCTTTTTTTACACGTTATAAATCTGTAATTCAATATAAACATATAGTAATAGAATAAAGTTTTTTATTCTAAAACCTACGATACGTGTGCTGTAGTATGAGGTCCTGGACAGGGCAGAATCTTCATAAAATTTGCACTTGAATTATTTATTTTTTTAAAAAGAAAAAGAAAAGAAATAAATGTATTAGGAAAAAATTCGTTTGTTTCAAAGACGCGACACTAGATCATCAAGAGACAGAATATAGTCCTCAGATCGACTATCTGAAGGTTGCGAGTGCAAATTCCTCTTCGAGTTTGACCTCTCCCGTGAACCAAGTTGGCATCTTGTTACGCTTAATAACGAGTGAACAGCTACTTGGAGATAGAAAAGAAGAGAAAAAGACCAATCGGAATGGGCGATCGAACAAAATACTTATAAAATTCCCGGTATTAAAAAAGCAAGGACGTGGCTCGACACGAGTCGGCTATGTCAGTTTTTCAAATTGTAACAAACAACAATACCCTGTATCGTTGAAGGATAGGATCTTAGGTCATTCTGACACGGGGATTAACGATTTTCTCAACCTGTCGTCTAATCAACAGTAGTTAGATATAGGTGAGTACGGCGCAACTTTAGCACGTTAATAATAATTTAAATTTAGTGTAACAAATATTACAGTAAAGTGAAAAAAGCTTTGTTTATTGTTTATTGGAATGTTATCTTACTACAGAACAAGTTAAAATCAGCTTGGAAATAAAAATAATCATAAAAAAAAGGCGCGAAATTCAACCGCCATCTTGGTGTGCACATATTGTTCCTCGATTTCAGTTATTTTAAGCAACCCTTTCCTACGACTTTCTTCGACTTTACTACAGTTCCTTATTGTTTAGCTTCTGGTCTTCCTCTTTGTTTTTTTCTCTGCCCAGGTAAGAGTTTTTCTCTTTCTTTCAGCTGGAGTGGCTTCTCCTCCGGACTCGGTCATGGCGTCGCCGTCGCGCGAGCGCCTTCAGCAGCTACCGTCAGGATCGGAAGCACTCATAACTTCTGAGGAATTAACATTTAACATTTATTTCTCCTCTGTCGAAATTGGAGAAACTTTTCTCCATTTGTTCGTCCCTTCTTTTGGACCAAATCTATACGATTTTTCTGGAAAGACAGAGACCTCTCCGACATCTTCGTCTGGCTGATCTCCACGCGGCCCTCAAACTGCATTTCCCCCGACCAGAATTGCTGCTAGATGTCCGCTACTCCAGTAGTGGTCTTCTAATAATCAAAACTCAGGATCACCAAGCCACAGAGGCAGCTCTTCATATTTCCGATATTGCCTGGATACCAGTCTGTGGCCTTCTGGCCCCGGACTGTGTCCATACCGCTGATCTTCTTCGTGGGGTGGATCCGTCGATCACAGCCCAAAAAATTTACGATATACTTTTGGACTCCCACCTTCCAATCCTAGAGATACGTCGTTTTACACAACGGGACAGGGGATAACATTGTGCCTAGCTCCACGGTTTACTTCTCAGTGGCCAGTGCCTTCCCGCTTAAATCCATTTCTATCTATTACCAACAATACCACTGTGAGCGATATATTCCTCGCCCACACCAATGCAAGTGATGCCTCAATTTTGGCCACTCGCCCAAGACATGCCGCGGCCGATGCAAATGTATTACTTGCGGGGCTGACAATGACCCTACCACATGTACCGCCGCTGCGACTGGCTGTGTGCGTTGCGGAAGAGAACATTCTGCTGATTCTCCCCGCTGCCCAGCCTATCAGGAAGAGGCACGCCTTTTAAAATTCAGCACCATCCAGCGCTGTTCTTATCTAGAAGCCAAGCGCTCGCAGAGCAACTCCCCAAAATCATACGCAAGAGTAGCCTCAACTTCCCCCCCAAAACTGCCAGAGTAAACCCCTCGTTGTGTAAAACAGCCATCTCTTTCTACTATTGGACAGACAGTTGACATTTTGACCTTAACCAATCATATCTCCCAATTGGAATCCACAGTGGAGAAGCTATGTGCGGAGTTAAGTCTTCTTTGCTTAATTATTCAGCCTACCCCGCATAACCCAACTCAAAGTTCCCTCCATGAGCCGAGTCTGGACAAGGCTCTGACCGTGTCCATGTCAAATAAGCGCTCTTCCCACCTGGCTGGTCCTTTGACTCCTGCCCAACTCCCAAAGAAGAAGAAAAAACCTAAACCTCGTCCCACCAATCCATTGGCGGCATCCGACTCAGAAGGTCCTAATTCGGACATGGACCTCACGTACTCCACAGGATCCACAAGAGTAACTCCCCTAGATGACCCCTGCATTGCCTCCCCAAACGAGCAAGCTAAACTTCGCCGCCACCCCGCCCAATACCAACAAGCATAATGTCTAACTCCTCGAGCAACTTGCAGAATCTCTGCTTGATACACTGGAATGTGAGAGGTTTTCGTTCTAAACGTGATCTCCTTGTGGCGGCGTCTTGGCTACATACCGTAAACATCCTCCTGGTACAGGAGATGTGGCTAACTCCTGTAGTGGCCTTTTCCATTCCAGGATTCACTCTCTTCTACCATGATTGCACCTCTGCTCAGGATGGGGGTCTCCTAACAGCTATTTTTCACCGGTGGCCCACCCGCCAGCTTCCCCCTGGTCCCAACATCACTGGCACTGAATATCAAGAGACTTTGGTATACTTTTCACGGGCTCCTCTCTCCCTTGTTAATGTATATTCCCCACGCGATGTCCTTTTGGTTGTTTCACTGGACCCCCTTTTGCAAAGCAATCACCACCCATGCATAGTGTGCGGGGACTGGAACGCTCATCATCCTTATTGGGATAACGAGTGCAAACGCCCAGACATCGCGGGCCGCACCCTCTTCGATTGGTTCTCATTTGCGTACTTATGCTGTTGGAACTCAGGGGAACCAACTTATTTCCTCCCAGACAGATCATCAGCTATTGACCTGACCTTCTGCTCCCCGGACCTATTAGGTTCCGCCTTATGGAGCTCTTGCGTGGACACCTTAACCAGTGACCACGCTCCTATTTCGATCATTCTTTCTATCTCGGGCACCCCTACCCGACGACTACCTGTCATTTACACTTTTCAACAAACTGGAGTTGTTATTCCAATAATCTCGATCCGCTTTGGACTACCGAGGATTCGATTCCCACCTTGTATAACGCCTTTGTAGACACTATCCGTGAGACAGATTTCTTTAATACTATAATTCGCTCCATTCCCTCCTCGGGTAAATCACCGTGGTGGACCTCTGAATGCAGCCGCCTTAAAGCGCTTAAACGTCGTGCGTTCCGCCTAGCCTGCAGGCGGGCGTCTCACTCCTGGTGGGATGAATATAAACAATTAGAAGCGAAACTCCGTCGGAAGACCCGTCAGGCTCGTCGGGAGTGATGGGGTCGTTTGTGTGCCTCTCCCCTTCTTCATCCACACTCTATCGCATTTTCCATCCACTAAGATCCCTGCTAGCTATCATGGCCACCCAACACATAATCCAAATGACAGACTACTTACTCAGTCCCATCCAGCAGGCAAAAGCCTTTGTATTCTTCTTTCAGCATACCCGCCCAAGGGGCACATTTGCTCTCCTTGATGATCCCCGGCTGGCAGCCTCAAAGTCTGAGGATTTCCCCTTTCAGCTCCTCAAACTCTGCTGGGCTATACACCGTCTTCGGAACACTACACCGGGCCCAGATGACATAAGCGCACACGTTTTACGGACACTCCCAAATGTGGGCCTCTCGGCCCTCCTCAATCTTTTAAACGACTTCTGGGCCTCAGATTCCTGCCCCCCAGATTGGACCTCTTCTACTGTTGTTCCGATCATTAAACCGGGTCACCCAGCAACGATATGAGCCTCTTATAGGCCGATCTCTCTTACCTCTCACGTCGCAAAACTATTCGAATGGCTAATCCTGTATCGAATCTATAAATGGATCTTTCATTCTGATATCTTCCATCAACACCACTTTGGCTTTCTTCCCTACCGAGGAGTAGAAGAGGTCTTTATTACGTTACACCACCATATAGCCGGTGCCCGAGCAAGAAGGCACTGGGTGTACAGTACCTAGTCGCTCTCGACCTAGAAGGGGCATATGACTCTGTGTGCCAAGAACGACTCCTAGCTAAATTAGAATTTTTCAGTATGGGAGGAAGACTCTTGTCCTGGCTTTAATCGTTCCTATTACATCGTTCTTTTCGCATCCGTTGGCGCGGAGCGCTATCACCCCCTCACGCTTTTATCCAAAGCGTCCCCCAGGGGAGCGTTTTTGCCCCCATTCTATTTACATTATACATGGTGGATCTTTGGATTGCTCTTCCCCAATGTCACTGCCTTCTTTTACGCGGACGATTTATACATTCTCACCTCGAGTACTAGGCCTTCTTAAGCAGCTCGCAAAGCTCAATTAGCCCTGGACCACCTTAAACATTGGGATGCCATATAGAGTTTATCTTTTTCTGCAAGTAAAAGCGCTTCCGTCGATTTTTCTGCCAAACTCCACCGCCCTCCACTTACTTTGTCTCTTAACTCTGGTAATATCCCTCAGCGCACTTCTCTCCGCATCCTCGAATATCATTTTTCGCATAACATCACTTGGCACGCCCACGAGACTTTCTTAAGAATCGAAGTGACTCGTGCTGGTTCTCTCCTCAAATTTTTTGCTTCTCGTAGTAATGGTGCGAGGAGAGCCGACCTCCTCCACTTAATTTATACCGTTTTTAGCCAGATGGCTGAATTTGGCCCTCCTCTCCTGCAAGGGGCCCCCAACCACTATCCGTCTATCACTATCCAACCAAGTCCCCTGCAAGGGGCCCCCAACCACTATCCGTCGCATCGAAAAACCCATTTACGAAGCCCTTCGCACAGCCTTGGGTATGCCCAAGTCTACTCCGCTCTTATCTTTACATGCCGAGTCTGTCTATATTC